TTCACCAGTTTCAATAAGTTGGTCACAGATTTGCAAAATATGTATGCAACTTTTGATGATGGTGACTTGGCCTTGATGTTGTTGGGGTCACTTCCTGATGAGTACGAGCACCTTGAAACTACTCTACTCCATGGAAATGACGAAATTTCTCTCAGAGAATATTGTTCGGCTTTGTACAGCTATGAACAAAGAAAGGGAGAAAAACAAAAGGGCGGAGAAGGAGAAGCACTGGTTGTAAGGGGTCGTCCTCAAAATCAAACGAGGACAAGGAAGGGAAGATCCAAGTCAAGATCTAGACCCAACAAAGATGAATGTGCCTTTTGTCGAGAAGAGGGGCATTGGAAGAAAGACTATCCGAAGTTGAAGAAGAAAGCCAAACATAACAATGGAAAGGCCATTATGGATTCAAATGTAGCTGATTGTGATGATTCAGACTTCTCATTAGTTACAACAGAGTTATCAACATCATCAGACATATGGTTGATGGACTCAGCTTGTAGCTATCATATGTGTCCCAATAGGAACTGGTTCGTGGATTTTCAAGAAGGAGAATATGGAGTCATCCACACAGTGGATAACAGCCCTCTTACCTCATATGGCATTGGTTCAATACGATTAAGGAACCATGATGGAATGATCAGAACATTGATAGATGTTCGATATGTACCGGATTTGAAGAAGAATCTCATCTCTGTGGGAGCCCTAGAATCAAAAGGGTTCAAAATCATTGCAGAAAATGGAGTGATGAGAGTATGCTCCAGTGCACTAGTGGTAATGAAGGCTAATCGGAAGAATAATAATATGTACGGCTATCGTGGCAGTACAGTTACTGGGGCAGCGACAGTGACATCCAGTGACGACAAAGAGGCAGAAACAACTNTACACTCTGATGTTTGGGGTCCTTCCAAAATACCTTCATTGGGTAGGAAGCACTATTTTGTAACTTTTTTTGATGATTTTTCCCGAAGAGTGTGGGTGTATACAATGAAGAGCAAATATGAAATGTTGGGAATTTTTCTCAAATGGAAGACGGTGGTGGAGAATCAAACAGGCAGGAGGATCAAGTGTATTCGCACAGATAATGGAGATTAATACAAAAATGATCATTTCAATAAGGTTTGTGAAAATGATGGCATCGTCCGACACTCCACTGTCAAACATACACCACAACAACATGGAATGGCATAACGTATAAACCGGACCTTGCTGGAGAAGGTACTGTGTATGTTGTCAAATGTTAGCTTGGGCAAAAAAATTTGGGCTGATGCAATTACATATGCATGCTACCTTATTAATCGTCTACCATCTGCTGCTATTGACGACAAGACACCATTTGAAAAATGGTATGGAAAGCCTGCTGTAGATTGTGACTCTTTGCACGTATTTGGCTTAACTCCATATTATCATGTGATAGAGTCAAAATTGGATCCAAGGGCAAAGAAGGCTAATTTTATGGGGATTACTTCTGGAGTCAAAGGATACCGCTTATGGTGACAAAAAAGGTAATATTCAGCAGGGATGTTACCTTTAATGAATCTGCTATGGTAAATAAGGTACCAAACAAAATGAGGGTGCTTCTAAGTATGTGGAAAAATTTATTTTTCCTACACAAGAAGCAGAGGAGGAAACAAATGAAGATTATCCTCTAGAAGAAGAGCCAGTAGAGAGGGAGATTCCAATGCAGGAACTTCAACAACAACTTGAATCAATAGCAACTAGCAGGGCAAAAAGGACAATAACAAAACATGTTCGTCTTATAGAGACAGTTGCTTGTGCCGCCTCAATTGTAGCTTATAATGTTCCTACCACTTATAAAGACGCAGTCCAAAGTTCAGAAGAAGATAAGTGGAGGATTGCCATGAATGATGAAATACAGTCCCTTCATCAAAATCATACATGGAGATTGGCCAATCTCCCGAAGGGAAAGAAAGCAATTGGGTACAAATGGGTATTTGCAAAGAAAGAAGGATTTCCTAACCAAGAAGATGTTCGCTACAAAGCAAGATTGGTGGCCAAAGGATATGCTCAAAAGGAGGGAATTGATTACAATGAAGTATTTTTTCCAGTTGTAAAACAGTCCTTCATTAGAATTATGTTGGCTTTGCTAGCATAGTTGGATTTGGAACTAGTTCAGATGGATGTAAAAACTGCGTTTTTACATGGAAACTTGGAGGAGGAAATCTACATGACTCAGCCAGAAGGATTCAAAGTTGATGGAAAGAAAAATATGGTGTGCAAACTTGAAAAGTCATTGTATGGATTGAAACAATCTTCTAGACAATGGTACAAACGATTTGACAAGTTTATGTTGCGGCAAGGGTACAAGAGAAGCAAACACGATCATTGTGTGTATTTGCGCAAGCTTGAAGATGGTTCCTTTGTATATCATCTCCTATATGTTGATGATATGTTGATAGCTTCAAAGAATTCGGAAGAAATTGATAAGTTGAAGATTCAACTAAAGAAAGGAAGGATCTGGGTAAGGCAAAGAAAATTCTTGGCATGGAGATAATAAGAGATAGACGTTCAAAGAAACTCTGTTTATCTCAAAAGGAATATTTGAAGAGAGTACTACAATGTTTTGGCATAGATGAGAAGACTAAGCCAGTTAGTACTCTACTTGCTCCTCATTTTAAGCTAAGTACTACTATGTCGCCAAAAGATGAAGCTGAACAGGAGTATATGTCAAGGGTACCGTACGCAATATTGTTGGTAGCTTGATGTATGCAATGGTCTGTACGAGACCTGACATTTCACAAGCTATTGGAGTTGTTAGCAGATATATGCATAATCCAGGAAAGGAGCATTGGCAAGCTGTGAAGTGGATTCTACGGTATATTCATAATACTGTAGATGTTGGGTTAGTTTTTGAGAAGGAAGGCAATCAATATGTAGTTGGATATTGTGACTCAGATTTTGCGGGTGATCTGGACAAACGAAGATCAACTACTGGTTATATGTTTAATTTTGCAAAGGCACCAGTTAGTTGGAAGTCTACTTTGCAGTCAACAGTTGATTTATCTACAACAGAGGCAGAGTACATGGCTATTACAGAGGCTGTGAAGGAGGCAATTTGCCTTCAGGGGTTGCTAAAAGAGCTTGGCATTGGACAAAAAAGTATCACAAGCTTGGCATTGGACAAAAAAGTATCACAATTTTTTGTGATAGTCAAAGTGCTATTCAATTAGCGAAGAACCAAGTTTATCATGCAAGGACGAAGCACATTGATGTTCGGTATCATTTCGTACGAGAAATCATAGAAGAAGGTGGAGTCACGGTGAAGAAAATTCATACTACGGAGAATCCTGCTGATATGCTGACAAAAGTGGTGACTGCGGTCAAGTTTCAACATTGTTTGGATTTGATCAACATTGTTGAACACTGAAGATTGAAGATGAAGACACAACCATAATTTGTTACCGAGAGAAAATTGAAGATGTGGAATTTTGCCAAGGTGGAGATTTGTTGAATATGGCAAACTATCCCACATCGGTGGGGGACTTAATTTGGGCGAGAATTTCACCCTACAAAAGAAGGCCTAATGTTTATGATTTAAACACACCTCTTATTTGTCTTCTTATCTTCTTAAGGCATTTGTATCTTCTCTCTTTAGTATTATTTCACTTGTATTTTGGAGTGGAATAAAATATTGGTTGTATCCGAGGAAGTAGGCTAAATTGGCCGAACCTCCTAAATTTTGGTGTTCCTTTTATTGTTGCTTTATTGTCTTATTTATTATTTGGTGGCTGTCATAATTTTCGGTATAGTAGTTGTGACTCATTCACATATATACATTTGGCTTCCGTAACAAGTTGATGATTTGCCATCGCCCTGAGTTGAACCAGTCATATTATAGATATATTCAATACAAGGTGATGGTCTAATAGATCACAAGGGAGAAACATCAGCATTAGAATCATCATAGGAGCTGGAGCCGTTAATGACCGGAGGCTCGTGACTTGTTCTGCCATGTGATTTTACCAACCTATTCTGAACATTTTTCTGATCTTTATTCTCTTGGATGACTGGTCCACTGAATTTACTCCTCATTCTCAAGCGGGACTGAGAAGTTGCACTAATATCTGCAAAACCAGCAGCTCTTTTGGCTCCAGCCAGTTGAGTTTTCTTGATGGTATTGTCCCCATAGCCATCACCTGATCTCCTCTTTAGCTTCTGTCATTCCTTTTAGAATTCAACAGATGTGACAGTGATTCCTCTATAGCACAATTAGTTTTAGTAGGCAAAACTTCCTGTCCCTTTATTCGACATGGAGATTTTATTCTTTGAATTTCTTGTCGTGAAGCATGTCTGTCCTCCAGAGTTATTCCTGCTGGCTGTCAAAGAACATTTTCACCTTTTTGATTGAAAGGTCTCAAATAAGCAAACATAGGCATCATCTTAAAGCAGTTTATTCATGCGTGGAATTTAATTGAGAACTAAAACATTCATAATATTTGCAATTTATTATCCTGAACTCCTAAGTTTAGGAGAAAATTGATAGTATAAGAATTTAAAATCCTTTGTTCGAAATAGCAAGAAGAGATTGGACAATGAGCGAGAACTGAACTGGGATTGTAAGATTCTTTAAGTTCTATTATTTTAAAAGAAAGTTAAGAATTGTAAGATTGTTTACGTTCTAGTTTAAAAGAAGAACCCTGTGCCTTGAGGCAAAACCTGCTTAGACGCCAAAACAAATAAACGAACGAAACTTTTCTGCCCCATTTTTTGTCACTTGAACTTGAGATGCCAAGACTGAATTATTGGCCTGGATAGTGAAACCATACTTGAATTCTACAGTCCTGATGTCCTTTGAGTTGTGATTCTCTTTGCTTCTGTTTTGTTAAGACACGTGTTAGCAACATGTTATGTGGTAGGTAAAACGTTAATACAGACAAGGATCACATGTTAACATAATAACTATTATTAGTCAACAATCATTTTAATAATAAAACTTAACAAATTAATTCAGATATCAGAATCCAAACTGAGCTGCTCTGTAACTGATTAAATGTTATGGCATCTCAAAGCAATTTCTTTATAGTAAGTAGTACTGTCCATGGTATGAAGTCGAGGTGCTAAGCACGTGAAGTTTCAACTACCTATACCAAATTGACAAAAGGAGAGAGACACATGGATATATTTTATTTAGAACTAGTTCTGGAAAAACCCCAAAATATCTTTTATGTACTCAAATCTTCATTTTCTTCATCTTGTATATACAAATTACTCTATATTACTTTACAAGTCTTCTTAAGTATGGAAAGAAGCGTAGCTAATGAGGCATCAAAGGCCACAATAATGGCGGAGGACTACAAGAAGGATCTTGAGTTCATTGAAGAGGTGACTAGCAATGTTGATGATGTCCAGAGGAGAGTTCTTGCTGAAATCATCTCCCAGAATGTGCATGTTGAGTACTTGCAGCGTCATAATCTCAATGGCAGCACTGATAGAGACACATTCAAGAAAGTCGTACCTGTCATCACTTACGAAGATATCCAGCTTGATATCAACCGCATAGCCTATGGTGATAAATCTCCTATCCTCTGCTCCCAACCCATCTCTGAATTATTGTCAAGGTTCTCCTCCTTTTTTTTCTTTTTCCAAAATAGAAAGTGAAAATTTATCTGTATCGATCTCTCACATTTTGGGTTGTACATATTGAAGTATGTGAAAATCTCATCGAAAAGCTTAAGTTAGGAAAAACACACTTCTATTTAGTATAGTTAATTATGTCTTCAACAGTACATGCATGTTGCTCTTAATTATTTTTTGCTAAAGGGAAAGTTTTGATGCAGTTCTGGCACGTCTGGAGGGGAGAGCAAATTGATACCATCAACAGAGGCAGCGCTTGGGAGGAGATTACAGCTTCTCAAACTTCTGATGTCTGTGATGAGCCAAGTGGCTCCAGATTTTGGAAAGGGTAAAGGAATGTATTTCATGTTCATAAGTTCTGAACAGAAGACCCCAGGAGGATTACTAGCTCGGTTTTTTACTACTAGTTTTTACAAGAGTCCTTATATCAACTGCGGATACCCCTGCAGGAAATTCACTAGTCCAACGGCAACCATTCTCTCCCAAGACTCTTACCAAAGTATGTACTCTCAAATGCTCTGTGGCCTCTGCCAAAACCAAGAAGTCCTCCGTGTTGGCTCACTTTTTGCAACCGGCTTCATTCGTGGCATCCGTTTCTTGGAGAAGCATTGGTCTCTACTTTGTAACGATATCCGAAACGGAACCATTAACACTCAAATTACAGATCCTTCAGTGAGAGAAGCAGTGATGGAAATCCTCAAACCTGACCCAAAATTAGCTGATTTCATTGAGGCTGAATGCAGCAAAGACTCATGGCAAGGAATCATCACTAGGTTGTGGCCTAATACCAAGTATGTGGATGCTATTTTGACTGGATCCATGTCACAATATATACCGATACTTGATTATTACAGCAATAGCCTCCCTCTTATCAGTACTTTGTATGGTTCCTCAGAATGCCACTTTGGAATCAACTTGAACCCTTTCTGTAAGCCCAGTGAAGTCTCTTACACCCTTATCCCCACCATGTGCTATTTTGAGTTCTTACCATATCACGGAAATAGTGGAGTCACTGATTCTATCTCCATGCCCAAGTCGCTTAATGAGAAAGAACAACAACAATTGGTTGATTTGGCCGATGTCGAGATTGGTCAGGAGTACGAGCTTGTTGTTACCACATATTCTGGTATTTTCAAATGCTAAATAAAAATCTCTTGGCACATTTTTTCCCCCATTTATAAGTTAAACATGCAATCTGCTGATGCTTAGCTTTGCTTGAATTTATGCCATTTCAGGACTCTACAGATATAGAGTCGGTGATGTGCTTCGGGTTGCTGGATACAAGAACAATGCGCCTCGATTCAACTTCCTATGCCGGGAAAATGTAATCTTGAGCATTGGTGCTGACTTTACTAATGAAGTTGAGCTACAAAATGCAGTGAAAAATGCAGTGGGTAATCTGATGCCATTTGATTCTCAGGTAACCGAGTACACCAGTTATGTCGATATTACCACCATTCCAAGCCATTATGTCTTATTCTGGGAGCTGAGTGCGAATGACTCTACCCCAGTTCCTCCGTCAGTCTTCGAAGATTGTTGCCTCACAATTGAAGAATCTCTAAACTACTTCTACCGCGAGGGCCGTGCGTCTAATGAATCCATCGGGCCTCTAGAAATTAGGGTGGTGGAAAATGAAACTTTTGACAAGCTCATGGACTACTGCAGTAGCTTAGGTGCTTCCATGAACCAATACAAGACGCCCCGTTGTGTGAAATATGCACCCCTCATTGAGATGTTGAATTCAAGGGTCGTATCCAACTACTTCAGTCCCACGTGTCCAAAATGGGTTCCTGGCTACAAGAAATGGAACAACACCAATTAAATGTCAAGCTTCCAATTTCTCTGCTTGTAGCTTCATTCACAATGCAGAAAGAAAACAACCATTTGTGGATTGCTTTAGTGAATAATCATCCTAGCTATGTTAGCCTTTCATGAACATGTTATGGATTTGTATTTGTCACAAATAAAATATGGCACTTTTTATTTCTGTAATGATTTTATTGTGTTGAGTAGTTTAGTGCAGAGAAATATGAGGAGAAGCATTAAAAAAGAGAGATTTGGTAGACACTTTTAGTACCCATATTTTATCCGATCTTAAAAAATCACTCACCCTAACCGCGTAATGTTCAGCCAAAAAAAAAAAAGGCACGTAATGTTGGGTGGATTGGAGGGGTGCTGAGGGAAAAATCCAATTTTGCCTAAGATTTTGCTGCAGCCTCAGGGCATAAGTTTACAAGCCTGGCAAGTGAGAAACAACCCTGTACCATGTAGTAGTACAAAACTACAACCCCTCTATTAACAGTAATTTTTTAGAGAAAACTACTGCAGAAGTGTTAAAGACCGTAAGATTCTTTAAGTTCAATACTAAAAGAAAGCTAGGAATTTTTTTTCACAAGGAGAAAGCTAGGAATTGTAAGATTGTTTAAGTTTAGTTTAAAAAAGAAAGGGCTGGTCTCTGAATATCATCTTGGCTTTTAAACCTCTATTGTTAAATCCACCTAGGAATCAGACATGGTTAAAGGACTATATCTTCAAGCTAAGTTGATTTAGCATGTTGGCGGTTCCACTTGTCTTTTCTATTGCATTTCTGAAGTCTGCTATATCAGTAAACATCCCGCCATCTAAAAATTTAAAATTGAACAAGGGAGACAGCTAATCAACGTACTGTTTTTTAATGATTTCTCACTTGAACTTGAGATGCCAAGACTGAATTATTGGCCTGGATAGTGAAACTATCCTTGAATTTTACAGTCTTCATATCCTCTGAAATATGAAAGTCTATCGCTTCCAATTTGTTAGGTCATTCTTTAGGCAGGTTTGAACTTCCAACACCAGGTTTGGCTATAGGTTGACATATTGAAAACATTATATGCAATTGTAATGAGCATAAGCTCAATATGTAGGTAGCCATCAGGTTTTTTCCACCTAACATAAGCCATCCAATGTTGGCTATTCCACTAGCACTATGGATACAAGTACACACCAAATATTTAGTAGAGGATGTACTGATTAAGGAAACTGACTTAAGTGAACAATAGATAACAACATGCATGTGATAATTTCAAAAAGCAAACCTGCTCATTCTCATCCTTTAAGGCCCTTAGCACACTATCCAGGTTATCAATCTTTTTATTTAATGCAGCAAAGAACAACAACAACAACAACCCAGTATAATCCCACTTAGTGGGGTCTGAGGAGGGTAGTGTGTACGCAGACCTTACCCCTACCCTGGGGTAGAGAGGCTGTTTCCAAATAGACCCCTGACATCCTTCCCTCCAAGAACTTTCCACCTTGTTCTTGGGGAGACTCGAACTCACAACCTCTTGGTTGGAAGTGGAGGTTGCTTACCTAATGCAGCAAAGAACATATCAGACAATTTCTCATCGGTACAGGCCAATTGGCTCTGGAGCATCAGTATATCATCAGTATCTTCAGAACTTGCTGACAAGATATCTCATTTAAAGCATCTTGCTCGATCACGCCTGTGAATTAAAATAGATGAGATATGTCAAACAAAAAGAACAATAAAAGAGCTATACATGTGAACTTACCAAGCCGTGCATTGAAATACAAGTTATACTGCCAAGTGCTTGCTGTATAATTGCTTTCATCTGTAACTAAATAAGTCAGGACAGTCAGCACTTTTTTCTACCAAAAAATCATGAAGAAACCCAATTAGAGTGTAAGATTATGAAACCTTGATTTTCAAGTGGACCCAAATAGACGAATCCATATCAAAAGAAAGTTCACCCTGATGTATCAACAAAAACAAAAATGATTACATTCCCCGGTTTAAGAAAGTACAAATAAAACAGTATGCATCCCAAAAATGTGTACATACACGCCAGTAAATAGGGTACTACAGGTGTTTTATTGTTAGAAATATCGGATTTTGAAGATTCCCACACTGAGTACCACATTACCAGCTTGTTTTATCCCATGGAGTCGTATAATTAAATTCATAAATCTATCAAAGCAGAATATTTCCAATATTTAGCTTATACATTTTATAGCCTTTGTGTATTAGAGAGAGAATAATATATGCACTTAAATTTAGTTGACTTGCAACTTCTACTCTTAATTTATTCCACTGAACTTACTGAGAAAATGACATCTGCCCTTAATTCTATTGAAGTGTGACTTCTTGTTGTCTCAATTGAAATATGAGATGCCTAAATTAATTATGGCGTTGTATCTAATTTCAATCTCCAAAACCTCATTAAGAAACTAGAAACAGGTTCTCTTTTCTGGTGTAAATTACCTACAACTATCAGGGAAATTACATCGGGAGTTAGAGTTCTAACTATAATAGCCACAGGATTAATGATACAAAACTACAACCCAGGATCTCAACTGAAATATGAGATCAGAATCAACAGTACTCTTACACATGATTATGTACATACACAAGCAAACATTTGAATAGATAAATATTAATCAATAAATTCTTATGCTTTTCAAGGATGGAAAGCATTAGTCGATGAAAATTCAAACGCAAGAATGTCATCTCTTTGTCTTGTTCTATAGAACAAGTTAGAAGGTTGTTAAGAATACAGTGAACTTGAGTAGTTAATGCACAATAAGGTAACAGAAAAAGAATTTAGAAACTTTAGCTTCCAAAGAAAGCTCAATGAATCAAAAGAGCTCTTGAAATTCCTCTTTTTTCATGAAGCAGATAAAGAAAGGAATCTAGGGTTTTTGCTCGTAGCAGGAGGGAATGGTGACTGAGTCGGTTGTGAGGAAGAAGAATTTTGCAAATGTAGTAGTAGTAGCTAACTAATAGCCGTTTAGCCAAGCTCCAAATATCATCTAATTTTGGCAAGTGCTTTTTTTAGAAAGTGTTTTTCTTGAAAGTATTTTTGGTGAGAAATAGTTTTTGTTTGGTTAATTAGATTGAAAAGCATTTTTGAGCAGCAATTAATATTTGACCAAGCTTTAAAAAATTGGTTCTAAATGTATTTTTCTCAAAATATTTTTTTCTGCTTCTTCAAAACTATTTCTGCTTCTCCTCAAAATCATTTTTTTTTCCTTCCAAAAACTTGACCAAACACATAAATTTTTGGCCAAAAATGCTTTTGGCAAAAAAAAGAAAAACACTTTTGGCTAAAAAAAAGTTGTGACAAACAGGTTATAAAGCAAGAAATGGAGATTTCAGTTGCAGAGATGAGGGAGTAATTCGAATTGAAGAGTCGATTTATGTAGAAAAGAATATACTTATCCTAAGTGGAAAGTAGTATCCGGTCTGCTCTTGGCGGAATATCTTTGACTTGTCTTGGTAAAATATTCCCATTGTTTTTACTTGAATATTATAGTTTTTCAATATTTAAAGTTTGAAATTTTTATTTGGTGGTAGAAAGTAGAAGCTAATGATCGATTATTATTAAAATTATTAAAATGTTAATAATGTGTGCTTAATTTTTGAGTTCAAATACTTAACGAGATATGGATGGTCCTCAAACTAATTCAGCACCTAAAAAACAAAAGAAAAGTCTCTTAATATGGTATTGGTCATAAGAAGGATGTCGAATCCGCTTCAAAGGTAATTTTTTATTTTATTTTTATCTATTCAAAGTTTTATGTATGTTAGCATTTACTTTTTAAGAGCTAGTTCCTCTAATAGATATGTATGTTTAACTTATTGGACAATAAAAGATATATATGATAAATTTGTTTGGATATCATGGGATATACTTATGCATGTTTCTTTTTAAATGTAGCATAATACAAATGGTAAGTTAAAACTTGGTATTCATTTTCAATTCTAACAATTTTAATGAATTGGAAAGAATATTATCAGCAACACAAGTTGTGCTTTTTAAAGTAAGTTATTTTGGGTATTTGCTGGAATTGCATAAAATAAATAACAATCTCAATAGATATATTCTTTATTGATAATAGAGATTCAAAAAGAAGTTAAGGATGAAATATAGTTTCTTGTCAATGAAGTTAAGTTACATTTTAATTTGTCTCGGTTTGCTTGTGTGGTTGGATTAAAATATAATGGTGATGTAAAGCGTCCTACTTGATCTAAAGGAAAAAAAATAATCATGAAAAATATTTTGTGGATTATCCTTCTTTTGCTAAGAAATATATTAAGCATTATGTTCCTAATAAAACGCCCGAATATAATGAAGATGTTGTGAAGATGACAGTGTTCTACATGATAAACTCCTTCCTCTTTTCTATTAAAAATATAAAATAGTTTGACAAGGATTATTTTGACTTGGTTGAGGAAGATAATTTTAATAGTTATACGTGGGGAGAGATGTATACCAAGCTACCTTGGAATCAGTGTCTAGAATTTTGGATAGGAAGACTATGTATTATCAGACTTCGGGATTTCTTATGGCTCTTCAAATATGTTACTATGAATGTTGTGAATATGTGCATAATAGCGTAACTATTTGTTATGGGACTAACTGTCCATGAACTCTTAGATGGAAGGTGACAACGCAACTCAAATTTGAGAAAATACATGAGAAAGTTTATGGTTTTCCCCACACAAGATAATTTTATTTGTTGTTTTTCATGTATTTCAACTAATAGTGGTATATCGTGTGATATGCTCGTCTGTTTTTCTGTTATACTAAGTCATTTGTATAACTGCGTATATGTAATAATCTGGCAGGTCGTTTTGAGCTTTAATATTATGTTTGACAAGTTGAGATTTTGAGTAGCTTCATATAATGCATTATGATTTGTGTATGTAGTTGAATCTGATGTTCGAGATCGACTTGGTAGAGTGATTCTCTAGTTGGAAGATTTAAGTTAGAAGAGTTGACCAAGGTTTGACTTTTGAGTAAACGACCTCGAAATTGGGATTTGATGGTTTCAATAGGTTCGTATAGTGATTTTGCACATGGACGTATATGTAGACAATAAATTTGCGCCAGTAAAATAAAATCGAGATCATATTGCAACAATCCTAGTATTTGATTTCAAATAATTGAGTGTACAATCTCTATAGATCCTCTGATTCATCTTTTCAATAGTAAATAAATTCAAGGGCCTTTGAGCTTGATCTTGAATATGTAGTTGTTGCCACGAACAATGATCTTGAATTCAACTAGTACGAACTTTGATTTGAACTCGTACTTCTTGAACCTTGATTTGTTCTTGGTTCTTGAGCTTGAGCTTGATTTGTTGTTCTTTCTTAAGCTTGAACTTGATTCTTGAACTTGAACTTGATTGCTTGAAGCTTATGGAGGAATTTGCAGCGTTTGATCCACGAGCTCTCTTTTGCTTCTTGTTATAACTTCTAGTATCTTTTCTGGGTTATGAAGACCTATCACGACCCCAAATACTGGTCGTGATGGCGCCTATCACATTACTAGGCAACCAACTAATCAATAAACACAACCCTCTTTCTAATAACATTAAGCCATTTTTCTGACGCAAGTTTTAGATACCAAATTCATTATAAGTATTACGGCAACAAAGTTATGCGGAAAGTCAAAATAACAATAAACTACACAGCCCCAACAATCTGGTGTCACGAGTCTAGAGCCTCTAATACAAGTCTGAATACCTAATACATCAATAGTCTAGGAAATGCGGAAAAATAATAAGATAGGAGGGAGAGAACAGGGCTGCGGACGCCATGAAGCTACCTCGAAGTCTCCGTCAAATATTGAACAGCTGAAAGCCCTCACTCGGTCGCTCGGGCACCTGGATCTGCACACAAGGTGCAAGGAGTAACGTGAGTACGCTAACTCAGTAAGTAACTAGAGTAAATAAGGGCTGAAAGCAGTGACGAGCAGTTCAAAAATACATAACTGAATAATCAATAGAATATCAGGTCATCTTTACAGTTTAAAATCACATTTCCAGTTTAAACAGTTGGAATCAAATACTTAGCAGTATATCAAACAGAGGCTTATTTAAAAGAAGAGTAAAATCAGTGAAAACATCATAACAAGGCCTCTCGGGCAAGGAATCACTCAGAATATAGCCCCTCGGGCAGCCTCTTAGTCACTTGTGACTCGACTCTCGTCACACAGCTCTCATTCTCAGCACTCGGCTCATTAGTATCTCATAATAATAGAAATCATAGTAACCGTTGCGGCGTGCAGCTCGATCCGTAATTTATAGTCGACTACGCTCACTGGGGTATATAGACTTCGGAGGAGCTCCTATAGCCCAAGCGTCATATCGCTGCGGCATGCAGCCCGATCCAATATATATATCGCTGTGGCATGCAGCCCGATCCATATAAGTATTGTTGCGGCGTGCAGCCCGATCCATAACTCACATATATAATTATCGTCACAATTGGGTTCTCAACCACTCTTGGTCTTTAACCTCACAGCCTCTCGGACACAACAATGGAAATTAGGGAACTCAGCCCAAATAGTCCTCACAATTGGGAGTAGAGTAATAAAACCAGTTTTATACATTTAAGCAGGTAAAACATGACTGAGGATTTGCTCTAGCAAGTAAAGTGAGGAAAAATAGTCAAAATGCCCCTAAGGGTTTCTATAGGTGGGCACAAGGCCCCAAATATGGCATACAACCCATAATACAGTATAAATGACTGAAATACAGAATAATATAAGATTTCCAAATCAATTATTCGGCTTAATAGTCGTTGCGGGACGAACTAAGTCACAATCCCTATCGGTGCACGCCCACACGCCCGTCACCTAGCATGTGCGTCACCGTATTTATCAAAACAAGTCAATTACCGGGGTTTTGTACCCTCAGTTCCAGATTTACAATGGTTACTTACCTCAAACCGGTGAAAATACTACTCCGCGACGCCTTTGCCCCTCGAATCGGCCTCCACGCGCATCGAATCTATCAAAAATCAGAACGAGGACGTCAAAATATGCTAAGGGAATGAAGCCCAAGTGAAAAGCACAAATCCCGAAATTACCAAAACCTGACCCCCGGGCCCACGTCTTGAAATTCTGAAATTTTTACATCAATAGATTCGTCATCTCCGCACGAGTTCATACATATCAAGAATACTAAAATCGGAGTCCAAATCACCCCTCAAATCCTCTTTTAAAGGCCTCTTAAACTCAAGCCCTAATCCTCCATTTTTAGCCCTTTAATTACAGCTTTAATCCACGAAATACTACCATAAAAATGTGTTTTAGGTCCAAAATCCTTACCTTAACGAAGCTCCGTTGAAATCCCTCTTCCAAATCGTCCAAAAGCTCCCAAGCCGAAGTTAATAGTGGTGAAAACCTTCAAAAATTGCGAAGGAAAGCTTATATATATTCTGCCTAGGGGTGCCCGCATTTGCGGTCCAAAACCCACTTCTGTGGTACTGCATTTGCGGTCCATCCTCCGCTTCTGCGGAAATAACTTAACGGACCAAATACCGGATCTGCGATCCACTCGTCGCATCTGCGACTCCGTAGGTGCGGCTCCTCTACCATATCTACGGTTCCTGACTCTACCTCTCCATTCCACATCTGCGCCTCCCCATCCGCACGTGTGACGCTGCACCTGCGGTCCCCAAACTGCAGGTGCGAAAACACCAGAAGCAGAAAAATCTCAGCAGCTGCAGTAACCTTTCAACTTCTCCGACGACCACCCGAAATCATCCCTAGGCCCCCCGGGACCTCAACCAAAAGCACCAACATGACCCAATACCTTATTCAAACTTGTTCCAATCATCAAAACACTTCAAGCAACACCAAATCAACCAAAACACCTCGGATTCAAGCCTAAGTTTCAAAAATCTTCTGAAGTCCGCTTTTGATCAAAAACCCAACCAAACCACGTTCGAATAACCTGAAATTTTGCACACACATCCCAAATGACACTACGAAGCCATTG